GCATATTCAAATAAGACTTTAAAATTTTTATTTTAATGAGATGAGTAAATGAGTGTTTATTTTAAATTTTAATTTTAATGGCATGCATTTTATTATCGTAGATATATTTAGTATTAAGTTTTATAAATGGAAGTTGAAGAGTCCTCATGTCAGGTTCGGCATCAAGTCTATTGTAATGTTTATTTTTTGTAGATATATAAGTTTCATTTCGCACTTGCATGTATTTGCAAATGGTAAAGTGCCAGCACGACCTTATGTGACAGTTGACGATATTTGTCTTTTAAACTGATCATGAATTCCACAAACGGCATTAAATTAAATTTTTTCTTGCAACGATAAATCAGATGCCCTTTCAATAAGTGTTTCATGTTGTTCTGCTGACATGGTCGAAAGTCGTGCATTGACAATAAATGGATTTTTAATCCACAATTCATTTTGATGTTTAATCTGTGGGTCATTTGGAAGATACTAATTAGAGCTTCACTCAAACATTTCAGGTGCCGAATAACTTTTTTCAATAAATGTCTTTTGCATTTTAGCTCCTTCCTCTTCTGAAAAACCTATTATTGTTGAGAAACTCAAATTCGTTGGAGCGCGCACAAATTGTCCAAAATTCTATGTTTTAATTGAAAAAAAAAAAAAAAAAAAAAAAAAGAATTTTTCCGTGAACAGTGAATACTACATTTATGTATTTAATATTCGTGAGCAATAAAGACTACACGGATATAATACAACAATGAAATATATATATTTGCTCTGAACGGTTAAATTAAAGTCATTGATCTTTATAAAAATGTCGCTTAAATAGCAAGTTTTAAGCAGCCAGCTTTTATCAGATAATTGACTTTTCAGTTCGAAACTGTGTTCTAAAAAGAAAAGATTTTATGAACTTAATGACTTCGAAAACCTCATCAAAAGCAGTCTTATAACTGAGGGATAATTTCTTACTTCCTTGAGCGAAGTAAAGGAAATATTGTAATCGCAAAAAATTTCGGGTATGGTATACGTATTTCAACGAAAATATCCATTTCAACCGCTTTCGAAACCATTTGAACCATGTTTTTGCGAGACATCTGTACGTACGGACAGGGTAAAGGACTGTTTTTGCCAAAAAGGATTCTAAAATGGATTCAAAAGAGATTTTTTCTGTACGTACGTAAAGACGTACATTTTTACGTACGTTTGTATATATCTCGCATAACTGAAGAACGAGTAGCCGTAGAATGTTGAAATTTTGTATATGGAACTGCTGTAACATGTAGTTGTGCACCTCCCTTTTTCGGCCTTGCCAGTCCCCGTCAATTTTGGTTGAAAATGTCCAGGAGGGCAGAGTACAATAGGGTTATCACATATAGCAGCGCGATATCCTCTAAGAAAGTTTTTCCGAGAAAGGGCTTATTTCTTCCAGAAATATTTTGCATCGGAGGTTTCTAGCGAACATCATTGCGCTCGACGGTGTGTTGTGGGTGCGTGTCTGGGACATTTTTCGAGGCGGGAGAAGATTTTTCGCCGGCAGCTGTCTTTAGCATAGGTCTTTGCTAAAGAACTGAGGTTAAAGAATCAGATATCCTGGAAGCGAAATTTTCCGGAAATGTTTCTTTCAACGGGCAGTTGAGAATAGCAAACAAGTCTTAAAGCTGTTTAAGAGAGTTTTTACTGTATGGTGTAGACAAAATTAGGTGCTTAAGAAGAGGTTCATTGCTACGCAGTTATTGCATTATGCCACCAACCAAGGTATGCTGCGGGGCTATGTTGAAAATTTTAAACTTTATGCCTTTTTACACAGCTAGCAGAACTGAGTGATCACCCAGAAGTTTGCGCTATTTTTCATCAAAGGAAAGCATTCCCATTCGGAAGATACGTTAGGATTGTGTTATATTGCTTCTTGGAAAGAAATTTGAAACGTTTGTAGTTTTTATTTTGCAAATTATGGAAACGTAAGAACAGGTGCAGGTTCTGCTCTACGGATTGAATGAAAATTAAGACGAAAATCAAGGTTTGGTAGACTGAATATGTCATTAATTTAGGTCGTTTTCAAATTGATCAGATACGCGTGAAATTCCCAATTAGCTGAGCTAAAATAATTATCCGGACAGCTTTTGCTAATGGCCTATGTGAAGCTTGTGACTGGGACAGTGAGGATACACAGTGTGTATCATCATTACACAAAGTGTATATCAGCATTGTTATAGTTTTAAGCTTCATATGATTGATGTTGATAGTCATAAGTTATGATTTATGATGACATTCATAAGCTTCATTCATTCGTGATACACAGTGGGATCATGTCGTGACGACTGACAACGATGATACATAATGAGAATCTGGCCTAAGGCTTTCACACTGCTATTTTATGTCCACCAACCTTTTGAGAGGATTTTCTAATAGAGTTTATGTGCCGTTACTCAACAGTCACAAATTTCCGTAGTGTCCTGAATTCAAATTTTGATTCATCCTCGTGGAACAAAATCTCCGTTGATTCCCCTGCCATATATATACAGTACCACATCTATTCAGTTATGTCAACCTGTTTTTTATAAAAAAAACGAATATGATAAATCTAATGTCGCTGTTTTTTTAGCGACATTAGATTTATCATATTCGTTCCCTGTGCGTTTATAAAATTACTAATATAAAATTTTAATCATTAGCCATATTATTTATGCAAGTAACGCTGTTTTACCTTGATTATCAAATCAAATATAAAGCTACTTAAAACAGTTTGTGTGCTCGATGCATTCTATATTCGATAAAATTTTACTAGCTTCTATTAAAAAATATATTTTATGTGGATACCATTCTACGAGAACTTTTTCGCAAATTACTTCTCTGTGTAGTGTATGGACCTTAAAGAGAAGTTAAAAATTTATAAGAAGCCGAATTGGTTTTAGAAGCACTTCAGAATATAACCAACGAACATAGCTTCAATTTTTAATGATGCGAAAAGGTAAGAAAATCGTTTCGATAAACAGCTAAAAACCTTCATCAAATATTTGTACCCCTAAAGGTGCCGATAATGGGAAATTGTTATTCTGTTATCAGCAAACAGTCGTTTCGTAAAACTTATTTTGTTAATTACTTGCTTTTCTTGCTTAAAAAAGTTAATATTTTTACTATCGAGCGTTATAAAAATTAACCGCTGACATTAACTCTTTTTTATGCATTGTATTTGGCGCCAAAAGTCACGCACGAAAATAAAGAACAAGAACTGTAATATTTCTCTTCCAGAACGTATCGCCTTTATTAAAGATAACCTCTCTTCCACTGGAACTGCGCTTGGATAAAGTAGTGTATTTTCTTCGTGCAGGAGAGCTGCAACTTAACTCCGCTCAATCTCATATCGGTTGCTTGTGGATACCATAATGTAATTAGTTTTTCTCTTTCTTCTTTTCCCACAACGTCTTAGGTAAGGGAATTCTCATAAGAATCGGATTTTAACGTGGAAATCGGAATGGCATATATCATCTCGGTCTATTTTTAGAGGATTATTCAGTTTTGCTTTATAAAATGTCTTCGTATCGTTTTTCTTTTCTTCGTGTTTTCAGGTTGTCTTCCAGGAAGAGATTAAATTTGCAGAAATTGTGTTTGTGAAATTTTCAGTTCTTCGGGAAAGGAATTCGTGGATAATAGGTTCTTCAAACGGCTTCAGCCCACGTAGATTCTGAGTGAACATTAAAATTGTATGATTCATCGCAAGAAAATTATTGGTTTAAATGTTAATAATAGTATAGATTCTCAAAAATAGAAACCGGCATTGAAAGCGCTTGTAGATTGCGTAAGATTTGCGAAACAGAACAGATGTAGTTTTACTATGATTAATCTAAAAGATTCTTCCGAGCGAGGGAATTAATATTTACTATCTTCATAAAAACCATAGAAGAATGCGAGTACTTTTTTTATGGCCAAATATACTTCATCAGCAAATTCTAATTTTCTTTTCCTTTTTTCAGCAACCAAAATGTTTAGATTTTTCATTCCAAATTCGGTAGTTTTTCTAAGCCTAACATGGATGACAAATCACACCGCTACACGAAAATCGAAAATTATATCACGTATCTCACTGTGATTAGTCGATTTTCCTCTCCTGGCTCAGCTTGGCTTAAAGTTTGGGAATTTTTAGACCAAATACCACATTTGATGGCTTTTTGCCTTGGAGTAATGCTCTGTTTATACTTCTGTTGAATATTATGCAACAATGTGAATATGCTTTATCAGCAATATGTAGCTAGACAAGATAAAATATTTTACTGTTTACTATTTAAAAATCTGAAAGAATCATCTATTAAGACTGGCCATCAGTGTACGTTTAAAGAAAAATCTTGGAGCATGGAATCTGCGTCTAAGGTTCAATGACGTTTCGCTGCGTAGCATGGTGTTAAAGGCGTAAACTGAAGCATCGTAATGTTTTTTCGGGCCGCCAGACGGTATAGTGGTTAGCGAAGCCTGACTGCGATGCTGAATGACCCGGGTTCGTGTCCCACAGAAGGCATGGATGTCCCTTTATAGGAGGCAACGGTGGCCGTCTGTTAGATGTCTTCCACAGTAAAGTGGCCACTATTTCTGACCTTAGTAGTAGGGGCCTCTACTAAGTGTCCAATTGCGTTATAGGCAGTCCAGTGCCATTATAAGCACTTAGTACTGGCCAATACCGTTATAGGCAAGTGCCTGCCATGGGAAGGGGAAACGTTTTTTCAGAATCTTTTGCCTTTTAATTGCAATGAAAATGTTTCAAAATGTATGGCATAATCATCACAGATTTACGAAACGCTGGCATAATATTTGAAGTACATTAATTTACTTACGCAGCCTTGTTGATTCCTAAGTATGTGGACATTTTTGCTACACTTATAATTTTTTTTAATATTAATTTTTTCCTTAGGTCATCAAACTTTATATTGCATTGTTTTTTTACGTTGTTGTTCCCTTATTTTTATCATTTTGCTGATTCGTAATAATGCTTGTCATTCACAGCCCTTTAATGCTTTTGTTTTCTTTTGCAGATGATCATGTTACAGATTTGTAGGATTATCTTCATACTGCTATTAAGCGATTTGGCTTCTGCATCAGGTGCTAGACGAGGTGGTGGTAAGTTCTACTCGAGTATAACTTTTCTTTGGTTAATGAGCTGAATCGAAATGTCAGTCAAATGTCTTTAAGAATTCGAGCTCCTTGATTTTTTTTCGTTTGGTGAACTAAATTAAAATTTTTGAAGATTTAATAAATACATGCAAAACCAATTAAACGACATAGACGTATTCATAATGTTGCAGGTAACTTGATTTTTGTGTCGTATTTCTGTGAATATTTTGTTTTGTTTTCATCATTATAAATTGTTCATTGATTGCTTTTTTTATTCTCGTTACTCAATATTGCGTTCGGTTTTGATGATAGGAACGTCTTCTTCAGAATCTTCCCAAATTTTTAGACCGTATGTCACATCACATTTCACTGCCGTACGTTTATTAGCCACGTGATTTGGAAAGGGTTATACTGCGGAATGCCTAAGATTTGCGATTTAAGTTGATCGTGGGATTGCGAAAAAAATAATTCTCACAGAATGTTTCTATTCTCCAAACTATGAAATTTTAGATTTTATTTCCTCGCAGCGTCTTAAAAAAAACAGTGCTCTAGATGTTGACATTCGGCAACATATAAGATATTTAAATTTATTATCCTCAGAGCATTGTAAAACAAGGAGGTTAATTTTTTCTCATACTGCTTATAATACTCATAATATTGCTTATAATACTGCTCATAATACTTTTCTCATACTTGTTGCGGGAGGGGACCCAGTTCTCCATAAGATTTTCTGCAAAGTACAAGACTTTTTATTTGCAATCCAATTTCTTCGCGGCGTCGATAATAACACAGTTCTCAGGATGTTCAGTAAAGCACAAGATATTTAATTCACCTTTCAATTTTAATAGATCTGCAGTTGCTAAAAAAGTTTAATTTACAATACAGTTTCCTCGTGGCATCGAAAAAAAAACCCGTTCTCAGGATGTTGACATTCGATAAAGCATAAGATTTTTAATTCACCTTTAAAATCTAATCGATCTATAATTGCTCAAAAGTTTTGAGTGACAGGAAAGGAATAAACTGATCTTTTTTAATAACTCGAATTTTAATATAATATCTAACTGATATGTTTTTAAATAAGTTTAATTTATTACATATCTAAATTGATAGTTTTTAATCACATCTGCAGCATTATTGTTCTGGACGCCGTATATAACATACCCCGATACAAAATCGGCTAAATTTATTTTGTAAGCTACATCAGAAGGAAACCTGTAGGAAAAAATTTATATTAATTATATTAGAAATGTTTTTGTGTTTATTCTAACATGCATTTCAAATTTTTTTAACACTTAGCTGAGTTAAGAATCGTAAGAGATTTATATTATTAGTAATTGTAATTTAAGCGAGATTTTCATAGCATTTGAAACTTCCCTTTGTTGAGTATCTTAATGTAACTTCTTGCGGTTGGTATGCGCAGTGTATTTAATTAAAAGGAAAGGATTAAAGGTATTAACGCAAACAGAATAAACACTATCCATTGTTGTGTTTTGATTGCTTTTCAACGAAAACAAAAGCCATTTGTTTTGTATTTTTTGAAAAGCTCTAATTTGGAATTAAAATGTCCCCCGTGTTCATTATTCAGCCTGTATTGCGAATCCATTCTGTGCAGCGTCACGTAAAATATCTAATCTTTTATAATCCACGAAGCTGCCCGTTTGGTTTGTGAAGCCGTCAAATGGATTCTAATGTAATCGTCTATCCTTTCATGGTAATAGGAAATCTTCCAGTGTTGGCATCCCTGGCCAATTTCGGCACTTTTCTTAAATTAGCTGCCACATTCGTGAATTGAATTAGTAATTCTCACTGTGTTTGAAGTTCGCAAAACTGCAAGCCATGAATTTCATTGTGTAATTGTGGTCTTGTGCACTCACATAGCAACTGAGATTTCTTGGATCATTGCCGAAACGTTTGGTATTTGGACGGGGGGGGGCGATATTTTATCGAATTAATTTTCGCGTGCTTAGAATTTTGTTTGCACGTTGGTGCAGTTTTGTACTGTTTCCTCCCTCTTCCCCTCCATTCTTGTAAGATGTGGAGGATTTTACTGGCGTAAACGTCACGCGAATGCTCGAAATTACATGTCTCGAATCTGCTTTCTTCCTTTTGATATTGGCTTATGTTATTTTTCCATTTCAGCACGCAGCTGTATTTGTGCGATTAATGCCTAAATGGAAAATATAATAATAATAATAATAATAATAATAATAATAATAATTATGCAGCGTGAATTGTTTTCATAATTTTAACTCAGAAACTTCCTTAAATAAGTTTCGTGAATTGAATTAGGAATTCTAATTAAGTAAGTCTAATTAATCTAATTAATTAAGTAAGTAAGTCGTAAGTTTTAGACATTTTACGCCATTTCATGGCGTTTCTTTATACTATGCCATGACAGTATTTATTATATATACGACTTGCAAGTGTTGTCAATGAACCTTTTTTTGGGGGGGGGGTATTAATTTAATATGTTACAGCCTTTTTGACGTAAGTGAAGTGATCCCGAAAAACGAAATAACAAACTCATAATAAAATGCTATGTTACTTCAGTTAAAATTACGATTTTTCAAAACTCATTTCATTCTTCATGAATTGAGAGTACTTGGTATAAACGTATTGAAGGAATCCTTTTCAAGGTGTTTATCGTTTTTCTGTTGGCGAATTTGGTATCGTGGTCAAATAGAAATTTTGATGTCGCACTCTTAAGGGAAAGGAGAAGGGTCTTAATGGATTCTTTTTGGCGAATTTGGTGTCGTACTCTTAAGGGACAGTACGTAGTGCGCGAAATAAATACATAGCTGTATCTTGAATAATTAAGTCATTTCTTTATTAAGTAAATGCACAAGTCTCCATTTGACGCCGATTTACGCACATGACTTTAAATTAAACTGAAGTGATATGAAAACAAAGTTTTTTCCTTACTTTTGTTAATTTGGATTTGCCAGTTTAAATGTTAACATTTCATTTTCTGTATGTGTAATTTCTCTCTGACTAGGTCTTAAACTAGTAGGCCAGTCCTATCTGTTTAACGATTCCTTCACGTGTTAAACTGAAATCTACGTGCCTGGATCAAATTGCAGGCTTTTCCAATTGTATGATTTTTGTATTTTTTTAGATCTTAACCTTTTGAAACTCTAATGGCAAATACATCGATATCTTAGACTCTAATCTCAATTTCTTATATGTCAGTTTTCTAATTCATCTCATAATTCAGGAATTAGAAAATTTACTTAATCACATAATTTTTTAGAAAACATTTTGCATTAAAAATATCAATGGGCATTTCAACGTATTTAAAAGTTTAAGCTGTTATTCCAAAACATTTCTGCATAACCAGGAGAACTGTTTTCAGAATATGTGAATGACTTTCTGTATATCTAATTAATAGTTAACGAAATAGCTAATTATTTTATATGTGAATTAGGACATACATATTCTCAATGGATAGCTTGAGATCTTTAACCTAATAACAAAATCTGTTGTATTTTTATCCATTCAGGTGCTAGAACCATGAATGTTATATTAAAATTCAAATGTCGGTTTTTTAACTTTTCGAATTTAAGTCATTCTAGCTGTTACTGTAGTCATTAGGTAATTACCAGAGTGCATCGTATGCGCTCAAAGCATTAAAAATTAAGCATAACACGGCTTCGTCTTGCTTTGGATATTTCATCACTTAAATGAAATCCCGTGAGTCCATAAGATGGCATTTTATATTAACTAGTTCGCTGATGGCGAGGCTATTAAAATGGTTTAACGTTGTTAATCTCGTCCTCTATTCTATTGTCAAGATGAAACTAATTAACTTCATTAAATTTTACGTAATTGCTTTGTTCTTTATTCGTTGATGTTCTATTGGGAACAAGAGAATAGAAAGCGAATTATCATCATATTGCTCTCGTGTAAAGAAAAAAGAAGAAAATAATGATGGAATTTATTTAAACCTATGTTCCCATGCATAAAAAAATAAAATTTTAAATTTTTAGAAGTGCACTAAGTTCTTTATTAAGTTATTAAGATTTAAAATTGTACAAAATGTTACAGATACTCATATAGCTCTGCTTCTTTCTGTCTAATTAATAATATTGCGCAATAATACGGGATTCGATGTCAACTAGCATTTAACTCATTAACTAATTGTTGTCTTGGCATATTTCAAGAGCTAATAGAGCTGTATCGATTTTCCGACGTTTGGTTCACCCTCTTTCCTAAATTAGAAATGCAGCATTAATTAATACATTAATAGACTAGTGCAATATCTGTATCGCCTTCCTTCCCTTTCTTCTATTATGTGTTTAATTCTTATGATATATGTGCTTAAATCAGTGATGGCGAATTTTATACGCATTCTGTTGGTATCCGAAACAAAAGCAAAAATGTAACAACGTCAAGTGGATGTTTGTTTGTTATTATTGCATGAAACATTTGCTTTATATGCAGAAACCATGAGATTTGCCGAAGGAAGAAAACATGATAAATCATGCTGTCGCCAGGATTTAAACTAGGGATCTTTCACTGGCCATCTGGATGTGCTAACAGTTTACGTTACAACAGCCTGTACGGAGGAATGCCATTAATTTCTTGCAACTTACGACAACTGTTTTGCTGACTTACTATTGCATTGTTGTTGAGCATGAGCAAACAGATGAAATAATGAATAAATTAATAAAATAAAACAATTGAAAGCAGCTGTTATTCACACGAACTGGAAAACTGTCATAGTGTTACAAAGTCACTAAAAACAATTTTATCATGCTCTCAAAACCCGTGTTTGACTCTGAAACAGATAGTTTCGTAAATGGTAACCTGTCTTTCCCACTATGTATCTAATTCGAACATGGAATACCTTCTGCTTATTACATATTGCAGTACTTTGATGTCACTGATCAAGACATGTCTTCTGTGATCACAAGTGCTCAAGGCTGTTGCCAACGGTAGGCGTATTCTAAGCGCTCCTTGCCATGAGGAATTTCGTGGGCTTGGGCCTGAGTACGTTAAACAAGTGA